GGGGAAGTAGTGCATTATGGTTTCAATTATTTAATTCCATTACTTTGTTTCTGATCAGATGGTGAATGGGAATAGTTCATTCCAAGATTGTTTTGCTGCTCTCTTTATCTTTGCTTTCTTTGGGAGATACATGTATAAAATGGTATCTCGTCTTAATGGGTACTTTTTTTTGACAAAGTCTTAATGGGTACTTGACACACTAATTGGCATGTGATTTTGTAGTTAGCAGCGGTTATTAAATAGTAGCAGAGTTAGTTACAACTTACAAGCAGCTAGTAGCAGCAACTAGTCGTTAGTAGAAACACAGTAGCAATAGTTGGTAATGAACCACTCCTTGTATATAAATCAAAGAGGGCATTCTTGTATTTCCTCAAAATTCCATAGCACCAATTCCCACAAAAATAAACCATTTCCCAAACATGGAATTTCACTCAATTTCCACAACCAATTCCTTGCTTTTGTAAAATGTGGAAATTCAAGCAAATTTCCACGTTTCCAAATTTCCACATCCAAACGACCCCTAATCTCTCCCCAAACCCACATCTCTGCATTGTGGTCAGATTAACGATTTGATTTGAGATATAGCATTATTAGCTTGCATTGCATTGTCATTCAAATCAGAGATGGTGATGTAAAAAGTCCCATGAGACGCTCTCAAGTCAACCCACTTCGCGCCCTCTTTCCCCTTCTCCCTTGCTATCTCTCTGCGAGGGACCACGACTCCTCTCACTTCATCTTCCTCGACAATAACCTCTCAAATCGGCTGGTTGCGACTATAGGTGTCAATCGGGCGGGTTCGGGTTGGGTTCAATCGGGTTCGGGTTCAAACGGGTTGCGGGTTAGTTGGGTTGCGGGTTCATCGGGTTCGGGTTCATCGGGTTCGGGTTCAAACGGGTTGCGGGTTAGTCGGGTTGCGGGTTCATCGGGTTCGGGTTCAATCGGGTTGCGGGCAAATCGGGTTGCGGGTTCTTCGGGTTTTGGGTCGGGCGGGTTGCGGGCGGGTCGGATTTCGGGTTGTTCGGGCCAGCGCATCAAGTAACTTAACTCATTACTCATTATCAACTTACACATTTTATTACACTAATTTAAAATATTTTCTCAACTTTTCAACCAATTTATTTCTACCTCGTATATATACACTTTATTTTTTTGGAAAAAACTAGTCAAAATTTTAAATCAATTTGAATGACTTGCAAACTTGTTATGTAATTAATCATAATTGGTAAAGTATTATAGCTAATAGTAATGGTGATATCAATATTTGCAACCAAAAGACACCGTTAATTGTTTATTTGATATTTTAGTATTAATTCAGTAGTAATTGAATTAAAGTATCTCGTTTAGTATAACCATGCAAATCTGGTATTTGGTGTGTGGTAATTGGCAAAAGCATAGTGATAAAAGGAGTTATTTCAAAATAACTCATTGCCCAAATAACTTCAGTAAACTGTTGCCAAACGAGTTATTTGTAAAATTGTTCAAATTATCCTAAAAATTGAACCATTAAAGATTAGCTATCAAATTTAGTAAAATTATTGTGACTTCATTCATAACTTACTCAATAGCATATATCCTATACACTTAGCCTTACCCTCAATCAACAATATTAAGTTAGTATATGTTGTTGATTGTATACCCTAAACCATCAATACATTATACAGTAACCACACAACCTATACCCTAATCATATGTCCTTGAGTTGTGATTTTGCTAGTATAGTTAATTTAAAAGTGAAATTCATACTTTTATTTTCAAAACATAGATAAAAAGTGATATTTGCTAATTGTTATACCCTAACCATATATCATATACTTTACACCACATACCTTATACCCTAACCACGTACCATAAACATAAATTAAAAAGGGATCTCCTGCCGTTAAAGACTTCAAATGACTTCAAGTGAACATATGTTAATAAAAAACTTAGAACCGTCAAAACCATCAATATCTTATACCCTAACCATATACACCCTAAACCATATGTACCTTATACCTTATACCCTAACCATATACTTTATATCCTAAACAACGAACTGTCAAAGATTACTTATCAAGTTTAGTACAAATTGTTGTAACTAATGGTTAATTCATTTATTAGCCCATAAACAATTACATACATATTAGCCTTCAAAGCATATAAGAATAATTTTAACTAGTCATGCCCTCCATATAAAAATTAAAGATTCATATTTCAAAAACTAAAATTATGAAAAACCAAAAAATTGAAAACACCAAATTTGTTTCCTTATTTCTTTTCACAAAATACTAAAATTTTCCTCCTTCTTTCTCCTTCCATACATTAGAAAAACTCAATTTTTCCTCCTCTTTCTCTTCCATAAAATTGAAAAAAACAAATTACCCTCTTCTTTCCTTCTACAAAAAGTTGAAAAGTCAAAAGTTTTCCCCCCCCCCCCCTTATTTCTCTTTCATAATCAAAAAAATCAAACTTTCCCACTTCTTTCTCTTCCCACATATCAAAACCACAAAAATTCCCACTTGTTTCTTTTCTAAAAAAATTCAAAGAACCAAATTTCCCTCTTCTTTCTCTTCCCAAAAACTTGAATACACCAAAATTTCCCTCTTCTTTTAAAAACATCAAATTACCAAATACCTTACTTTACTTTATTTATATTTAATTGATAATTTTATTGAATAGTTAAATTAACCAAAATTTTAATTTATATATTATATTAATATTGTCATGATCTCAAGTGACCTTCATGTTTCAATTTTGGTAATTTTCTTAACATACGTAATATCAAGTGAGTTTCATATTTTTTAAATTTCTTATACGAAATGAAAAAATAATTTTACTTAAGTTTAGAATGAAAAAATTTATTTTGAAAAACTATGTATTGTATATTTTTATAATTATTCAAGTGGATTAGATGAAATTCGGGTTGAGTCGGTCGGGTTACGGGTTAGTCGGGTTCGGGTCAATCGGGTTCGGGTCAGTCGGGTTGCGGGTTAGTCGGGTTGCGGGTTAGTTGGGTTTCGGGTCAATCGGGTTGCGGGTCGGGCGGGTTACGGGTTGTTGACTTTTAGTCAATTCGGGTTGCGGGTCGGGTTGATCAGGCGGGTTAATCGGGTCGGGCTATGTTTTGACACCTATAGTTGCGACCCTCCTAACTGCCTTCTCAAATAACTCGACCTTTCCACGAGCTTGTATCAAGAGAAATTGTATAAAAAAAAATTGTATCAAGAGAAATGGAATTAACATAATTTTGTCAAATTTATAATAAAAATCAATTTCTTTATAGAAAAGAAAATATTTCAAAAAACATCCACATATTACATGCACATCATATATAAACTCTATAAAAATATAATATACTAATTCACAGGGCCGTCTAATGGATCGTGGAGGCCTTTTTCAAAATTGAGATGTGGTCCAAATTGATTTTTAATTATAATAAATTAAAATATTTATATCATAATTATTTGAAATGTAATTTCTTTCGAGCATTGTTTAAAATAAAATTATCTATTATACCTCTAATTTACGTATTCTCAATGGGATAATTTCAATTGTTATCGTAGCTATTTCATTAAAATTTTCTTCTATTATCTTTTTAAAACAAATAGGATATGTTTAGTGTATATATAAGTGGCTAGTGTATATATACATGAGAATAATAACCAATGGTTAACACTAATATTAATTAATATAATTAAATTTGTTATCATATTCATAATCAATTAATCATACACTACAAATACAAGTATACAACCTACAATATACGATTGGGTAGCTAACAAATTCACGTGGAGGCGCCCTAATAATCGGAGGCCCTGTGCGGAGGGCCGCTAAGCACACCCTCTTGGCATTCACGGTCAATATTAATAATTTGGGATATCGGACATTAACCCAGCGGTATGAAATGACAATGGTGGATCGGTTTGTGCGTTGACATCCACCCCAATTGGCACGTAGTAAGCAGTCAAACCAAGTTCTCCAGTCATGAGAAAACATTACTACGTTAGCCACGTCCAAGTGCACCCTTAAGATATCGCGGCACCCTCTATAAGCTGCGTTTTCATGATCTTGAGGAGGTGAATGAACGACTTGACTCAAGGTATCAATTGCATAAACAATGTCGGGCCGCATATGACTGTTAGGTACTGCAAATGTCCAACAAGTCAACGAAACCCAAAAGGATCCTTAGCCGCACGACCTTCAATACGAGTAAGATGATGATTCAGCATGATTAGGAAAGCACAGGGTTTCGCAGCAAGAGCTAATCCCTGATGATGATCCTATTATAGAGTGAACTTCATGTACCAGTTTTGATAAGTCTGTTTCAACCCATTAAGAGATTTTGGAATACAACAGATCCGATGTCCCCGGTCGAGCAAATCCCTGAGGGAGTTTTATTTAGACCTCTTCATGCATATCAAAATTTAGAAAGGCTTTTTAACTTCTAGTTGCCATCCGCGATGAGCTACAATGGCAAGAACAGAGCGAACGATCACAAGTTTCACAACGAGTTCGAGCGTATCATGAATCATGACATTTTTTTAGTCCCAACCCATGGACCCCACGTATTTACAAATACTATATTTCATTTGGTATTTGGTCATAGAAGGTAAGAATTTGTGACCCATGATACAAAAACCTTTAATCCATGATCAAAATCAACTAAAAAAACAATGTTATCTTTCATATACAAAATGCAACAAATCTATCATAAATCCAAAGGTTTTGAAAATTCTAAGCTTCATTTTTAAATCCAACAAGCAAATCATTAATTTTCTGAGTTGACTACAACGCCTTCCATTCAAGAAACACGCAAAAACCCAATCGTCAGCTGAAAATTGTACCTTCTCCTCTGAAAAGGGGCGTCTAGCTAGACGCTAGTTAATATGCATCGATCGCACACAAAAACCCAACAGTCCAAAATATTCCATGAAGAAACATGCATGTTATGTTATGTTGATCCAAAACCAAAAGTCAGACTAAATATGAAGTAAAAGTCTCCAGCTACCACCTTTTCCTAGCTAGCTACAAGTCCAGACGTAAACCTTGCCGCCAGCTGCGGCTCCGGCTAGCAGGCCGACGCGTTGAGGATGCGCATCGAATCTGCAGGGTACCGTACCCATGTTGGGGCTGTCCAAGCTCATAACCACTCCTCTTTGCACCGGAGAGATGACGTCAATTGCTTTCTCCATGCTGCCCACGAGAATGCAAGAGTCGTCCCATCCCCATATTGCTCTGGCAGGCAACAACCATTCATTCATTTATTAATTAATTAATTAGGACTGATCGATCAACAAACAATGCAGCTCTGTGCTTGCTTGTGATTTATTCATGTATGCAATTTCTCTGAGATGAGAAACCGAAAGTCGTACCTGAGTTTTGGAATATATCTGACACTGTGACCATGGACATGAGGTATCATACAGTTAACATCCCAATTGGTCCCATTCTGTATCCCCACGTAGTTATCCAAACTAAAACAGCCAAAAGTTGGCGTAAGTATATAAGACGATGCAAACACAACCATTTACTACAAACTTATGACATGACATACCTTAGCGTTGCAAGGGCGGCCCCGGAGGGCGAGAAGTAAGCAGAATTCACAGCGTCTTTGTGCTTCACCTCCTTCAAACATCTGGGTAGGCCCTTGCGGATAAATCTCAAATCCCAAATCTTTGCAGTTTTATCCCTTGCACCAGTGGCCATGATCTTGGAGTTCCCTGGATTGAAATCTATGGTGTTGATGAGGTGGCTGTGAAGATCCAACTGCGAGGAAGGCTTCCCGGATTTCGTGTCCCACACAGTTAACACTCCCCGACCTTCTCCCATGTACAAGCTCTTGTCATCATTTGGCGGCTTCGTTAGGCAGTTCAAGCGCTCCACCCCCTTGCGCACAAGAATAAACTCCCCCTTCTCAAGATCCATCATTCGAACGTAACCATTGTAGCAACTCGTAAACATCTGCACAACACCAATTAGATTAGATTAAATTAAATTAAATAGTTCCCAGAAGAACAAAAAAAAAACCCTCATCGCCAGCCAGCAAGCTAAGTAAACCCCAAGCCAAGCTTCTTACCAAATGACAACGTACAATATCCAACAGAAGAAAACATTCCAAAACGAGACTCTCTCTCTCTATCTCTCTCTCTCATGCAGGTGCAGCAAGACCAAGCAAAGTAAAGAAATAGAGCAAGAACCAACAACCTGGAGTGGTATTAATTGTACACCACCAACGAATCTCATTTACCTGAGAGATGCAGGATTCCCGAAACAGAATCCCCGAAATCGGACCTGAGTGAGGCCTATACAAGCATCTCCCATCATTCCCCTCCTCCGAATCCATATTCCAGAACCCCACATTCCCGACCTTGTCTCCCGCTACAACCATCCTCATACTGCTGCAAGGCATAAACTTGACAGTCATTACCCAATTGGGGACTACCATGGCAACATTCTTGCTTTCCAATTTCATCGAGCCCAAATCCAGTTGGCCCCTGACGCTCTTTTCCTCCTTAATCGGCCCCTCGATTGACAATAGAGTGGCTACCAGATTCTCGTGAGATCCAGTTCCGTCGTGGGCATCAGTCATGCTCAAGGGACCTGATACACGAGGGGAGACCTTCTCCCAAGTGGCAACTCTTAGGGTTTCGCAAACGCCGTCCACGTGGGCCGGGGCCAACCCTTTAGTGCGGAGCGAGCGCCGGACCGTGGATTCCTTCTCCGGACTCGCTTTCTCCAACTTGGCTTTCCCAATAGCGACTCTGCAAATAATCGCAATTAACATGAAAACCACAATCGAGAGGAACACAAGGCAAACAGAGAGAGAGAGAGAGAGAGAGAGAGATAGGGGAAAGAAAAACAGAAACCTTACCTCTGGCGCTTGGAGGATTTGGAGAGCTGCGCATCATTGGACTGAATTTTGACGGCGGGCCGTTTGCCCTCGTTCTCCTTCCCTTTTACCTTGGGCGCCATTGATGTTCCTTCAAAGCTGCCAAGACAGAGACAGATACACAGAGAGAGAGGGGCAGGCACACAGACAGGTCTCGGAGCGGAGCGGAGCGGAGAACAGAGGAACGGGACACGGGAGGGTTAAGTACTGATCAGAAGCGGCACAAGTATATATATATATATATGGCGGCAGAATTAATTTTGGCGGGAACATAAATGTAACCCTACTTCCCAAGCAGATACAGTCGGTAGGAAGGAAGTTGTAACACCTCCAATCTAGGGATGGCAATGGGTCGGGTTGGGGCGGGTTTTGTCAAACCCAAACCCAAATCCATGGGTTTATCCGCCAAAAAAACCCGGGGTAAAACCCGCTGGGTTTGAAAAACTCAAACCCAACCCAACCCGCTGGGTATCCGCGGGTTCATGGGTACCCGTGGGTTTTTGTGGTAAAAAATTTACAATAACAAGTTTCTTTCAAAAGAAAAGTTTAACATTAATTTTCTCATACAAATTATTCATACAAAAAACACCAATCTAGAGCATACAAGCAAACCGCAAATGATCAATACAAATTGTTCAAAATTGAAGATAAACATCTATAAACAATAAGATTAATTGAAAGCTTTTTACTCGTTAACTAAGTTTCTTCACTCTCCACTTCATAATATCAACTTCATTCTAAACAATTAGAAACAACAAATTATATATGTCTCCACAAACATAAAGAATATTAATTGTTTAAGGAAGATATATTATTTAGAGTATTAAATATACCGGAAAAGTAATTATATGTGTGTGGGCGGGTACCCATGGGCCGGGTTTACCTAAACCCAAACCCAACCCGACCTGGTGAATAGTGTAGCGGGTTTAAACCCGAACCCGGCCCGAAACCCGTCAACACGGGTTTTACCTGCGTTGACCGGGTTGGGTAGGGTGGGTACCCGTGGGTTCGGGTTTTGTTGCCATCCCTACTCCAATCCAATCCAATCCAATCGGACGGTAGGACAGGTTCAACTCATCTTAATTCCTTTGCTTTTGGTTTTGGGCTGTCAGTAAGAGAATTCGAAAAAGCATAATTAATTGGGATCTACAAACACGGGTTTAGATAGCGTCACAACCCTTATAGGGGTTGTGATTTTCACTTCCTCCTTCGCAGCCATTAGATCCACCCTCTCTTTTGGTTTTTCAAATTAACGGTTTAGATTAAATGAATGATATTTTTGGAAGAGAAAAACTTACCACACAGGATCCTTTCTCATTTTTTATATAATCTGATTTCCAAAAAAAAAAAAACTCTTCCTCTCTCCCCTCTCTCTCTTTCCTCTCCCGAGAACCCTAACTACTCTCTGTCTCTCCCTCCAGTTGTCGTCGCCGCCGCTGCCGCCGCCCCCTCCCGTCGCCACCGTCGTCGTCTTTCCCTCCCGTCGCCACCGCCACCATCTCTCCCTCCCTCCGCAGCCGTAGCGTCCTCCGCCTCCCACCATCGCAGCCCTCTCTCCTCCCTCCAACTCCTGTCACCGCCATCTCTCTCCCGCCGTCCTCCTCAGTCGCCGCCGCTAGGTAACAACCTCTCCCCTTCCTTCTCCTTTCCTCATTCCTTAATTTTTTTTCAGATCTGGGATTTTCCAGATTCCAGATCTTGTTTTTTTATGTTATTCTCTAGTGGTACTGATTTCTGTCTAGTGGTACGCTACCAGTGGTAGTGGTAGCGTACCAGTACTCAGTGGTAGCGGTACCAGTGAGTAGTGGTACTGATTTCTGTCTAGTGGTACGCTACCAGTGGTAGTGGTATCGTACCACTATTCACTGGTAGCGGTACCAGTGGTAGCGTACCACTACTCACTGGTAGCGGTACGAGTGGTATTTGTAGCGTACCACTACCACTAGTACGTACCACAACTACTGGTAGCGTACCACTAAATGAAAATCAGTACCACTAGCACACTGACGGAGTGGTTTTTTTGCAGTTGGCCGGAGCGAGTCTGAGTGGAGGATTTCACCGGAAAAATTCGTCGGCCAGAGAAACTTTGGTGGTCGGAGTGAAGAGGTTGCTGGAAAAGAAAGAGAGAGAGATATATAAGCGTATTAATTGTAGGATTTGAATTAAAAAAGTATTTAATCTGGGTTTTTAATTCCCAATCTGTAATTAATACAAAAATAAATAAATAATAAATTCTGTTTTTTTTTCATACCCAAATTGCCCTTGGATGTGAATCTCACATCCCTCTTAGGGGATGTGACCGTATCCCACCCCTACAAACACTCGCCCCGCTTGGTGTCGTGTCGTTTAAGGTTTTCGGACTCAACGCCTCACTTGGACGTACGGCTCCATCAGTGGCAACGCCGCAATTAACTGACCAACCAATAATACATGCTGGTGTTTAAGTGTAAAAGCTTAAGTATATGCTTAAAGCGAGTCTATTGATTGATAGGAATATAGTTAGTTAATGGAAGGTTAATAGTTTTTTTTTTTTTGTAGGAAACAGGGTGCTAACGGGCACCCCAACCGTTAATCATTATGAACTAAACGAGGAGTGGAAACTCCCATACAATCAAACAAAAGCCAATGGTTAAGGATCGGACAATGAGAATCAACAAGGTGGAAACCCGGTGGACGTCCATGTCCAAGGGATGCTAAGTAGTCGGCTACAACGTTCCCCTCCCGGAACACATGAATCACTTCTACCTGCCAATCAAGAGCTAAGAGTCTTCGCACTTCGGAGACCAAAGCCAAGTGGGGATGTCGTTCCCCTGCTCCCTCAACAAGTCGTAGCGCTGCATGGGAGTCAGTCTGGACCTGCACCTGTCGGATTCCCATCTCCCACGCTACTTTCAGGCCAAAGGCAATTCCTGCCAGTTCCGCTCTAGTGATTGATCCTTCCCCCAAGTTGCCGGAGAACGCTCGCAACATACGACCATCTTCCCGCCGAATAACCCCGCCCGCTGCAGCATTTCCACCCACCACCAACCCATCCGTGTTCAGACATGACCAGCCCGCCGGAGGAGGTTTTCAAGCGATCATCCGTTGGGACGGGATAGCCTCCCCGTTGAAAACTAGCGCTGTCTTTGTGGCCGCCTCTTCAATCTGCTTCTCCAAAGTCACTACTCTACAAGGTAAGGAGCTTGTCGAGTCCAGCTCCTTTTCAAAAACAAACTTGTTTCTGTTCTTCCAAAGCATCCAACACATCACAGCAAAACGGATCGGCGGTACACTCCTACTCCGACCAGCCAGATAGTGAAGGATCCACCTCCTTAAGTCATCCTGAAAGAAAGACTCGTCCGGCTCCTCTTGAAGGAAATCCGCCCAAGCGGCTCGTGCATAAGGGCAGTCACGAATGACATGCAACGTAGTCTCCTCATCTCCGCCACAAATTCGACAGCTTGCCACGGTCGTTAGATGCCTCCTCCACCTTTCGCAATTGGTAAGTAAACGCTGGTGAGCTACTAGCCAAAAGAAAGCACGAATCCGCTGCGTGGCTGGAACTCGCCAAAGCGTTTTCCACATGAGATGCGAGCTTGCAGGTCTCTCCTCCACCGCCGTCAACGTATACGCCGTCTTCAAAGAGAAGCAGCCATTCGGGGTAAACCGCCAAACAACAACATCCTCCCCTTCTTCATGAGGCACCGGATGCAGCTGGATGGTGCTGACGATATCATCCTGCAAAAAAGCACGAAGGTAAGGTATATTCCATTCGCCGTTGAGGACCAGATTAGCAACCGTCAGCGAGAGCGCTTCTTGCGGGAGGTTGGCCGCCAAATCTGCCAAAACTGGGTCGTCTTGTAACCACCTATCCGTCCAAAATCGAGTGCTCTTGCCGCTCTTAATATTCCACATAACTGTTTCCGGGATCATGTGGAGGATCCGAAGGACACCCCGCCACAGGTTCGACAGGCGGCCTTGAGTTCTTGGCTGCTATCCCTCTTCCGTACGTCGTAGATACTTCGCCCGTACAATGCTGGCCCATAGGCTCTCCGGTTCCGCCATCAATCTCCAAGCTATTTTGAGCATGAAAGCTTCATTCATTCTAGTGGCATTGCTAAGTCCAAGGCCGCCTTCCTCTTTAGGGCTGCAAATAGTTTCCCAGTCGATCAAGTGTATCTTCCTGCCTCCCTCCGAGCTTCCCCAGATAAATGCTCTGATTTTCTTGTCTATATACTCCCTCACGTTCGTCGGGAGGAAGGTAGTTTGCATGATGTACGATGGCAGAGATGAAAGTACTGCTTGAGCGAGAGTAATGCGTCCGGCTAGAGAAAGAGACTTGCTTTTCCAACCTGCGAGGCGGGAATCCACTCTATCAATAAGATCAATGAAAGTTGCTTTTGAGACCCGGTCGTGAATAACCAGGACACCAAGATAACGTCCCAGATTCTTCGTTTCTGGGATCCCCAAGCCAGCAGAGATTTCCGCCCCTTGAGCATCCGTAACGTTCTTCGAGAAGAACACACGTGACTTTGGCTTGCTGACTTGCTGACCCGAGGCTGCACTAAAAACATCCAAGCACTGCATTCACCGCCGCCTTCACAAGATGGCTTAAACGCTCCATACAAAGAGTGAACAAGTACGGTGAGAGCGGGCATCCCTGTCGGAGACCTCTCGAGGGATAGAAGCTGTCAGTCAGCCCACCATTCCACTGGATTCTC